GGGGGGGAGGGGCATATTTTCCATAAATATGTTATACATGTAATGGGTAACCCTTAGCTGGAGTAGTTTAAAGAAACAGGTTATATAGAAGGTGTTGTCTTCAGGGTCAAAAAGATGGGAGGTGACGGTTGGGTGGGTTTGGGGTATAGTATAAATGATATTAATTTTGCATAGTGTCAATTAAAAGTTAATTAACTGTAGCTTTTGCTAGAGAGAATATCCCTTTAGGTGCAATTATAGAATATATGACAAAAAACTTTGTGGTTGAGGTATGCTTTGATCACCAGCAAAGTTGCATATCATCAGATTATTTAAATATAACTTATCAATAAAAACTTTTTGAGTACTAAATAAACACACTGCTTACTCTTGCACCATTCTTTCAAAATGTTTTACAAATAAATCTATAAATATTGTAATTTTGATCCTTAATTCATGAATGGAATGGAAGTGTTCACTGTCATTCCTTGTCATAGTGTTGTGACCCCTTAATGTAAAATGTATGTAATGGCTGCTTGTCTAACTAAGCCCCATACCGCCTGTCTCTGCAGTAAGTACGAATACTTCTGTTTACTGTCACCAGGAAAACTAATGAAACATAGAGCTGTGATGGAGCTTCCTTTGTAACTATGGCTTGGCTTTGTCTCCCGGTGCTCGTGTCGGAATGGAAATCAATAGTCTGGCTATATACCAATCTATCGATGTTTTCGCAGAAATACCCTGGGCGTTATACAATATCTGGGGTTATATATCCCCATGTGTTTTTGGGTCAATACCCTACCCCTTTCTCAATAGGAATTTTTAGCTCACCTGCAGGCCCGAAGAGCCTAGTGAGCCTATGCCATGGTGCGGCGTCCGTCGTTCTTCCGTCGTCTGTCCGGCGTCAACTTTTTACTTTAAACAACTTCTTCTGAATAATCAAGAGGCCCAGGCTGATTATATTTGGCCAGTAGCATGCTTGGATGAAGGGCTACCAAATCTGTTCAAATTAATGACCTTTGCCAATTTTAAAGGTCACAGGGGTCAAATATGCTAAAATCTTTATACAAATTCTTCTATATAACCAGAAAGCCAAGGATGATGATATTTGGCCAATAACATGTTGGCATGAAGCATTACCAAGTTTGTTCAAGTGAATGACCTTCGCCCATATTCAAGGTCATTGGGGGTCAACTATATTTAAACTTTTAAACAACTTCTTCTAAATAACCAAGAGGCCTATGGTGTTGCTATTTGGCCAGTAGCATGCTTGGATAAAG